ATAACTCTTTGTATGACTATGATAGTACTAGTAGAGTCATTGATTGAGGCACTATGTTACAAGCCGGAAGGTCGCGGGTTCGATTTCAGATGAGGTCACTGGATTTTTCAGTTGACCTAATCCCTCCAGCCGCACTATGGCCCTGGAGTCTTCTCAGACTGTAACAAAAATGAGTACCAGGAATCTTCCTGGGGATAAAGGGGCAGCCGGCGCGTAAGGCTGACAACCTCACCTCCATCTGTGAGCCGATTGTCTAGGAAACATGGGAACCTCGACTTCTCACAACCCTACGGGCTTCCGTGGCCTGTTACAGGAATAGCTTTACTTTTCATCTGCCTCACTAGTGTTGATATGTCATAATCTGAGGACCCTGAACCCTTTATTTGGAAATATTAATTTGCTGCAATGCTGTTTCGCGTAAGTTTATGAAGTAGTTTAAAATGTTGTGTTATATGGGAATCGTTATGAACGACGTAAGATCCGAATAGGCTGACGTTACATAATGTGTCCACATGTCTTCCTCATATTTAGAAACATAATGAAAATATTACATAGGGATAAATAAGCAACAGTATGCTTAGTGCATGTGTCCTAGCGACCATTGTCGGCGTAAGGAAGTTGTGGACTTTCCCGTACTTCCGGGGGGGATTTCCAAGCAGGCAACACATTTCGGTTTCCTTTAAGATTAGCTAGAAACGCTGAATATTTTCGTTCTATTTAGCAACCGATATGATGTTACCTCATTTGTTGCCTGCAAGCCAAGAACGTCAGATAATTTTATCGGCTTAGTTAGTTAGTTACTTAATTAGTTATTGGAGAGGGTGGGTTTCCCCATTCACTTAGACCTGTATTGGTCCATTGTGCTTCCCTCTATGATTTCTACCAGTCTCTATATCCTACCGGTACTGGTGCTTATCATCAGTCCCGCCCAGCCAGCGAGACCGGCTCTATTAGCTGAGATTTTATCGGCTTAGTAATTTTCTTCAGTTCCGTTGAATTATTTTATCTTTTTATTTCTCTTATGCATTGCCATCGTCTGGCAGTGCGTTTAGACGGAATTTGCCGCCGTACGTATGGCATATCTTTATCTTCACGAAGGTAAAGTTGTCCTTGTACTTAACTAATTAAGCATTATGCCATGAAGCCGTATAAGGGAGTAGATGTATAGATCCACATTTTCTTGACCTCGGTACTAGCTTAGGTGAGTGGTCAGCTTCACGCCTCTATCGCTTTACCCCCTGGGAAAATGCCACGGGTACCCACTGGGTAGGAGGCTGGGTTGGTCCCATAGCCGGTCTGGACGACGTGCAGAAGACACAACTTTTGACCATACCAGGACTTGAACTCCGGACCCGTCGGTAATCCAGCCCGTAGCCAGTCGCTATAGCGACTGAGCTATCCCGGCTATATTTTTCTGTTCATACTATTATTTATTCTCTGTATTGCATATTACGAAATGATGCAGTGATGATGCATTGTTGATCGCAATAATAAAATTTAGACGGACAGATTGTATGAAAAATCAAAACATGTACTCTGTTATATGTAGTAAGGTAAAGTTGTCTCTGTGCTTAAATAATTAAGCACTACACCATGAAGGTGTATAGAGGAGTGGATGTGTATATCCACGTTTCCTTGGCCTCGGCACTAGTTGGAGGAGAGTTGTAGGCTTCACACTTCGACCGCTTTCTCATGGGGAAAGATCCCGGCACCCAGTGGATGGGAAACTACGTGGTTCTGGGGCCCCCAGAACTGGTCTGGACGACATGGAAAAAATTCTTGACCCCACCGGGACACAAACTCCGACCCCTCTATCGTCCAGCCCGTAGCCAGTCGCGATACCGACCTGCGCTATCCCAGCTCTTTTTTAATATACATATCAGAATTAATACATTATCAGTATAAATATCAATGATGATAAGATTCTGGTAAGTTGTGCTGACTTAAACTCTAATTAATCCTCTGAAGTTAATTACATTGTTCTTCGAGATTCGAAATTTCCATAGCCTCAGTGCTGCCTTGTATGTACGTAATCCTGCTTATTCACTCACGAAGCCATGAAATCACGCTGTGCCGAAAATGTGATTCTCGGAAGGAATTCTTGTATAAATAAAACTGTGCTCCTCGTGTCAGAAGGGCCCTTCCTTTATCGAGCGTCGTTCACGGTCGACGCTTTTCTCCGATACATCAAGAGCGTCCCGACGAGTGACAACCGGAGACGATGCTTGTTATTAATTACATCCACCACTGCTAAGGCGTCCTCCGCCAGTGTAACCATCAGCAGACTTAGGAGCTGCTGACTGGATTGTCGTGGTAACCATAAGAGTTCGTTCCTTATTATCTTAGTGATTAAGTGGTTTGTATTGCACGATTTTAAGTAAACATTGTCTGTAACATCTTTAAGGATACAGTGTACCAAGAACAAGAAACCTCACAAAAGCAAACTTTTTATGAACAAAGAAATGTTATATCCAGGCGTATGTTGAAAACAGAACCAAGTAAGATTTGAGGCTTTCACGGCGGTGACTATGAAGAAAGCAGTCTTCTGGGATTTGGCACCGTGTATGTGGTGTTAACTGACGTTTCGGAGGAACGTATCGCCTCCATCTTCAGGGTAGAAGAAAAAATTAAGAAATCTGCAAGCGAAGAGACCGTGAGAACCGGTAAAAGCAGTCTGCTTTCTCACGGTCTCTTCGCTTGCAGATTTCTTAATTTTTTCTTCTATCCTGAAGATGGAGGCGATACGTTCCTCCGAAACGTCGGTTAACACCACATATACACGGTGCCAAATCCCGGAAGACTGCTTTCTTCAGAACCAAGTAAGTTTCTAATCATGACGTAACAACTTACGTCACTATCTCATGATGACGCAACCTCAAAATATTTTAAGATATAGTTGTAGTATCCCAGGAATCTCTTCCTTCTAATTGTTTTGTTATAATTTACTGACTTACGATCTTTCGTCTGTAAAGGTATATCCGCTAGTGCGTAAATGTAGACAAGACGGAAAGTTTGTGTTAACACGTTTTTGCAACAAGAAAACTTATTTTGTGGTAGCAGCAACATATCAGAATTAAATAAATTGTACCTTATGAATCATAAATGCCTACGCAGGAGTTTGCTAGACATACGACAGTAATCTGAAGATGGCTGCAAATTCTTATTACCCATCCAAAAATAAAATTGCTGAATATCGGTGCTTATTAATCAGTACTTCATAGGAATTCTGTGCTTCACTTAAGAAACAGAGTTTCTTATGCATGAGACTTTTAGAAGTACTACTGATGGTATACACAGTATGTAGCGGCTTTTAAGTACAAACGCTGGAATTGAAATTATGCGTTACGTATAGGAATAGTGTTCTGCCGCTTACTCACAAACATTCCTGTGACATGGCAACCTTACAGACTGACCACGTAGTTTGTAAATTAAATGTCTTCATCGGAATAGAAGTAAAATTCATAAATATTCGCATTTGTCATAGATGTTGTTATACTGTACCGTTGCTACACAGCAATGTATTACCGACCTTGTTAATTCAAGTGAAAATGCTTGTGGCTTGCCTACGGGAGGCGCCCGGTTCGAATCTCGATCAGGATACCGACTATCCTATTCGAGATTTTTCCCAGTGTTCTTCAGTTCCTCTGGGAAAATGGCCCGGTAATACCTTAAATTGGGCCACAGCAGCTTGGTTCCACATTCTTTCTAATTGATGTTCATGCTCATCCCGTCATTCAATTTTATACATTGTGAATTACTTAAAGCGTCGTTAAATAATGTTGACTTAGATAAACAAACAATACAGAACAATAAACTAAGTCTAGGATAGGCCGCCCCATAACTCAAGCGGTTAGTCGCTGGCTTCCCACCGCGGCGGCCCGGGTTCGATCCCGGGTCTGATCAAGTGGGATTTGTGGTGGACAAAGTGGCGCTGGGGCAGCTCTTGTTCGAGTACTTCGGTTTCCCCTGCCAATCTTCATTCAACCAATTGCTCCACAATCACCCTCACCTATCACCTGGGGCTGGTACAATAGGCCAGAAGTGGCCGCGGTGCAGGGGACTTAGTCCCACCCCACTAGCAATTAAAAGAAAAGTCTAGGTTACAACACATCATGATGCTAAATTATAATACGTTTGTCTCAACAGTTGTCATATTCATTCATATACAAAATTCACGGAGCTGACCCCTTTTGAGAAGCCGCCAGTTGTGCAGCTATTCAAGAACTTCCCAGCATTTTATGGAATCCGAAGGTTTATTACCATGTTCACAAAAATCCTCTACTGGTCCCTACCTTGAGATAGATCAATCCACCCCATCCTATCCCTCTACGATCCATTTTAATATTATCCACGCACCTACGTTTTTATCTTCCTAGTAGTCTCTTTCCTAATGGTTTTCCCACCAATATCCTATGTGCATTCCTCTTCTACCCCATTCGTGCCACATGCCCTGCCCATCTCATTCACCTTGACTTTATCATTTTAATTTTCATTCGTGTACTACAAGAACAAAGTGCTGTTAGAGAATCACAACTTTTTAACTGACTTTCCGCAACCCAGTTTCGCGTCAATCTAACTGTACAAATTACAACAACAAAAAAGGAAACCAAAAAATTATTATTCTCCCTGCCCTACAATATTTATCCCTTAGGAATACAGAAGAGAGGATTCGTCAAACCACTGGGGGATTATAAATCAAACGATACATATTTTTGTGTAAATCTGCCACCTCATTGAAAATAGGAAGTTTAATTTTTTTCGGACATAAATTGAGAGCTGTAGAATAAAACTGTACCTATCTTCGGTTATTTGGGAAAAGAGAGAATGCAGAATATTATGGAGACTTGTTCAGTTAGAAGTTGGCCTAGCCCCCCCCCCCCAATGCTTATGAGCGGATGAAACGCGACAAGAAAACAAGCGCCTCGGCAATGGAAGGAGAGAACATAAGAAATTAACCACTACTTTTATATCATATGAATTGTTTCATTGTCTGAACTTACCACAGTTCTGGCAGAGGATCTCCTTGACGGCTTTCACAATCTTCTCATTTCTCTTGACGGGTTCTCCACGGGCTTTGAAAATATGTTGTTCAATTTTATCAACAAACACAATGTACTTCCCTCCACGTGTAATATTGGCTCTCATAACTCTATTCTTATTCCCACCATCATCACACTTGCGAAAATTATTACTAGCTCTTGCCTTCTCAGCAAACTGTAGCCTCACTGCGCTTCTTAAGAATCCTGGTTCCGAACCCTTGTACACCTGTTGTACCACGAATGTCACGTTGTATACTCCGTCTCGAACGGGACTCCTAGACCTAGCTTTTCCCTCAAACACTGTTTGGGCTAAGTAAGTTTTGACCCCAACATCGTCTTCAGGACATGACTTAGAAAATGCAGTACCTCCAGAAAAAGATTTCCTTAGTAATCCGGAAGGTACTATTTGGCCAGTTGTCGCTCTGCGACCAATGGGGGCAGCGGTTACTAACACGTTCTTATCAGTGCAAGATCCTGATAGGAGTACTAATATAGCTACGAACACTAGGAACACCACTTTGTCACACAGAGAACGCCGACTCCTAGTCCTACTCCAGGTGATTCCGTGAAGAAACCTCGCCGACATGTCCATCAGCAGTTTCATAATACTATTATTTGTTTCTGTTCAGTCTCTCGCTTTGTGCGCAGTCTAGTTGTGGGTGAGGTCCTTCTTTACTTAATCGAAATTTCTTCTGGGGTGTTTACAGAACAGGAGAATCGGATTTAGCACAGTTGGAGAGTATGAAAACGTGATAGCGAAAAGGCTGTTAATACATAGTATCGGGGAGGGTATTGCTGATTTCGAGGGTCGACCAAGGGTTACTGTTCTGATGTTAGTTATGGCACGTGATGTGGTTGAAGAAGACATGGCTTCCAAGTGCTAAGCCTACTGTGCTCAATCTTGCTGCTGCTTTGAAACACAGGATAGTTTCCCTCTTCCCTGTTAACTATTTCGTCACAACTATTAAGTAATCTTTGTAAAGAACAACGCGACTAACTTAACTTCCGCTTTTTCTCTCATTTCTTAATAGACTCTTCGTTCTCCTTGATTGGTTCGCGTTTGTTGAAGCAAGGCGCTCTTCTTCCTTTATAAGGCTTCAAAATGAACATAAACCACGCCCCCTTTCGTTGCACGTTGTAAACACACTTATAACGTGGACATTTAAGATATTAGATAACTTCTTGAAAACGACACTTTGAAGCAATACACACTTTTGTTTTAAATTTCACTTTATATCGAAAATTCGTTGATTTTTGTTAGCTTTCACAATTGATCAAGTTCATTTTCAATTAAACAGAATTATTTTTTTTTTTTAAATCACGACTTGTACACACTATTTTATTATTTTTAAGAACTGCTCTCACGAGATGTAACTACCCAGTAGTTTGCCGTGGTGTCCAATTGGAGAAGGGTTAGTGTTGGCCGTCTTCTGCCACTGTCTTGCCGCCAGCTACCGTCTTACCCGCTCTGAATTTTCACACGCAGCTACTGCCTGCTATCTACTACGACTACCACCACCACCACCACCACCATCACTACTACAGCTGCTACTGCAAGAGCTTCAGACGGTCTCGAGCAAAAGTCACACAACTCCCCGCTCCCGTTGATGTCTCTGTCCTCGTCTCCGTTATAGTACTACAGCGAGCGGAGAACTGGCCGATCGCAGGATAGGAACCGCGTACTGTTACGGCGACGTTTTAGGAGGTTGTCGAGGAGCTGAAGAGAGAAAGAAGGAGGGGCCGGGTACTTGCCTTGCCAATGCTTTCCATTAGCTTTAGCGCGCTCTGTTCCCCCCCACTAACCTTATTCCCCCTGCACCAAACAACACTCTCCCCCCCGCCTCGCCATCTTCATCTCTATTCTATCTCTTCCATTTCTTCCTCTTGTTCGGCAAGCCGATGTCAGACGATGTAGGTCGGGCAGAGTGGAAGATGAGTCACTAATGATTCCTCGGCCAGCCTGTGATAAAGGAGTGATGCTTTTTTTATTCTCAGTGTAGATCTGGTTGTGATAACCCGTGTATAATTGCAATTTAATTTGAAGCGATTTGTAAGGAAAGATAAAACTGAACACGATAGACGGACATCTATTTCCACTTTTATTGACCTTAATATTTACAGTTTTGTGATTAAAACAAATCAAAATTTTGCTTCGATCTGTCTTCTCGTCTGCTGCCTAAAGACGTAAAATCAAGATATACAAAACAATAATTTTGCCTGTGGTTCTGTATGGGTGTGAAACTTGGTCTCTGGCATTAAAGGAAGAACGTAGACCGTGTGGCCCTTGAGAATAGGGTGCCGAGGAGAATATATGGACCGAAGAGGGATGAAACAATAAGAGGTTGGTGACAACTGCATAATGAGGAGCTCCTAAGTTGTATCTTTCGCCAAATATAATTAGAACGGTGAAGTCAAGGAGAATGAGATGGCTAAGACATGTAGCATGCATATGGGCGAAGATGTGGGAAAGCCAGAATGAAAGAGACCACTGAGAAGACGTAGATGTAAGCGGAAGGATAATATTAAGATGCATGTTGGAGGAATGAGATTGAGTGGTATGGACCGGATTGATCTGGCTCAGGATAGGAACCAGTTGGGGGCTATTGTGAACACTGTAATGCACTTCCGCAATCCGGTCAAGATGAGGAACCTTTTGCTTAACTCAGTGGGTTGCAGCTTCTCGAGAAGAACTGTACTCCATGGAGTTGGTCCCCTGCTATAGTTTCCACAGAGATACACCGCGGGATATAAGAAGACGATTTAATCGATACAGAACTAACTAACGAAGTAGGGCTTATTTCTTTCGAGAAGCCACCAGTCGCTCAGCTACTCCTGAGTCAAAGGAATCCAGTCCATATTCTCACTGTCTATTTCTCCGAGGTCCGTTTTAATATTATCGTCATATCTACGATTAAATTTCCCAAGCTACGCCTTTCCCTTGTGTTATTTTCGATTTAAACTTTGTTTACATGATCGCTCAGTCGGTATAGCGACGGGCTGCGGGCGGACGGCCGGAGTTGAAGGGCCCGTAGGGGGCAAGAGGCTTTTCATTTCTCCATAGCGTCCAAACCAGTCCAGCCTCCTTTTCAACCAATACCGGGGAAATTACCATGGGGGTTAAGCAGCTGGAGCGTGAATCAGACCATTCTATCCATCTAGTGCCAAGGTCAGGAATGGTGAAGCTATGTATCCACTCCGCCATGCTTCTTTGTAGCGTGATTTCTTAATTAATCAGACACGGAGGCAAATTTATAAATAAATATCAGATCAAGAAAATTACGCTACGATACTTTAAAGAGATTTTAATTATAACAGCGGTTTTTATTTTTTATTATTTGTTATTGGTGATAATCAGGGCCCGGATTTTGATGACATATCATCTTTTTTTCCTTATATCCTATGCGATGCTCTTAAATATATAAATCTCGGATATGAGCTGCTGGTTACAGAAATGTAAATTTTATAGGTAATTTGTTGTCATTTTTTGACATTTTTAGGTTTACGGTCATTTTTTTATTTTGGGGGTAATTTTTTGGTATATTTTTGGACTTTTAATGGTATTTCTTGTCATTTTTGGCCATTTTAGGGAATTTTTCTTCATATGTTTTCTGAAATGTGAATAACATGGAAGCGAAGTGTTCTTTCTTTTCTTCTTTAGGTAATTTTTCTGTTTTTTCGGTCATTTTTTTAATATTTTCAGGTCATCAAAATCCGGGCCCTGCATATTACATTTTTGGGTCATATTTTAGGTCATTTTTCTGTATGTTTTCGGTAATTTTTTTAAGTATTTTCAGGTTATCAAAATCCGGGCCCTGCATATTACATTTTTGGGTCATATTTTAGGTCATTTTTCTGTATGTTTTCGGTAATTTTTTTAAGTATTTTCAGGTTATCAAAATCCGGGCCCTGGTGATAATTATATGAGGGTTTTGCTCCAGGGATCATCATCATTATCAACTGCAAGGTTTAGACCTCTTGATCTCTTCCAATATACGGGGTTAAACGAATTGATCTTTTAATCTTTCTGGTAGCCGACCTGTCTTCTTCTTTATGATGACAGTCAAACAGCTTCTGACGAACTCGACTAGTTGGCATCCTTTAAATATGTTATCAATAATATTGTTGGCTTAAAAAAGTAAAGTTTACCCTGTGCTTAATTAATTAAGCACTACACATTGAAGGAGTATTGGGGAGTTGGTGTATAAATGTATATTTACTTGACCTCGTCACTAGCTGGAAGTGAATGGTCAGCTTCACGCTCCGGCCGCTTTACCCCCGTGGAAAGAGCCCCTGGTACCCATTGGATACGAAGCTGGGTGGACCCCAGAGCCGGTCTGGACGACGTGGAGAAGAAATTCTTGACCCTACCGGGACTCGAAATCCCACCCCTCGGTCGTCCAGCTCGTAGTCAGTCCCTATACCAACTACGCTATCCCAGCTCCTTGTCTCGCGGTAGCGTAGTTGGTTGAGGCACTATTCTACAAGACGGAAAGTCACCAGTTCGATTGGCGTTAAGATGGATTCTTCAATTTACATAATCCTTCCAGCAGCACTATGGCCCTGGGGTCGACCCACCCTCTAACAGAAATGAGTACTGGGAATCTCCCTGGGGGGTATAGGGCGGCCGGCGCGTAAGGCTGACAACTTTACCGCCATCTTGATCCGATTGTCTAAAGAAAATGTGTGAGCCTCGACGTCGCACAACCCTATGGGCCTGCATGGCCTGTTACAGGGATAGCTTTACTTTTTTAAAAACATATTTAATTTTTGCCTGATATCGGTATCAAAGTGATCTGAAAGGAATAGTGTCTGGATGTGGGGATTGGACTCCGCTGGGTCAGGATAAGCCCCAGTAGCGGGATCTTGTGATGAAAACAACAATTAACCCTACTGTTCCATGAAAGACAGGCGTTAAAGGAGGTGCTGGAATATAAGAGGAACTTAGCGGAGAAGAGATCTCATCTCGTAGTTACGTGGGCTGGACGTGCAGATCGGATGAAAAGAGAAGAGAGAAGCACAGAATTTCAGAAAGCACAACTCTGGAATCTTAGCCGCTTTACCGACCGTTCTGGCTGAGATTCATTATAATGGTCTTTGTTACGTAGTCTATGTAAATTTGTAAATTGTAGGGGAATGTCTTCAAATTGTATGTCACGACCCCACCTTTCTTCTCTCCACCTCTTTCAACCTTCTGTAATTTCTGAAGTTGAAACAGCATCGTTAAATAAGCTGAGAGGCAAGAATAATACACAACTTCTCTAAAGCAGAATCGGATGTTGAAGCTAGGTTCATGTGTTCAAAACTTCCCTCGAAATCTCTCGGTAGATGTGAATATCTTGTTTTTATTACAAAAATTAATTAGAAGCTAAACATATAGTGATGTGGGGGCAACAGGTAGGCATATATTTATGGCTTAATTGATGTGAATTTAATCAGTTCTGATTAGACAATTCTGCACTACTATTCTGAGAACTAGAAATCTCCTAACAAAGTACAAGATGAAGAAAGCAGTCTTCTGGGATTTGGCACCGTGTATGTGTGGTGTTAACCGACGTTTCAGAGGAACGTATCGCCTCCATCTTCAGGGTAGAAGAAAAAATAAAAGAAATCTGGAAAGCGAAGAGACCGTGAGAACCGGTAAAAGCAGACCCTCCGAAACGTCGGTTAACATCACATATACACGGTGCCAAATCCCAGAAGACTGCTTTCTTCATAGTCACCGCCGTGAAAGCCTCAAATCTTACAAAGTACAAGATATTCACTATAGTGACTGATTATATAGAAGTTGTCACTCCTTGTTTCTAACCAAAGAATTTAGAAATGTTAAAAGGATTCATAGACAAAAAGTCTATATGTGCACGACTACATATGTTTAAACAATTGCACTTATGTAGAGACAAAGTAAATGGTGTAACAGAATTGTATATTATGTGATTTTATCTGCACACGATATTTCTATAAACCAATTCTAAGGATGCGAACTAAGTCCCTCAGAATTGTCACAAAACGTCTGTACAATGTTGTAAAGTGAGTGAACTGTTTCAACTGTCATCTAATGATATTTCACAACAATCAAAACAGTAATACCGCGTAAAAGGCAGAACGTCCCGTATCCGCAAAAGTACGCGAACTAATGCATCGCTTGCTCTAACGCCGCCTTACTCAAAGAAGGCGAGGAAAACAACACGACATGGTTAATAACTGTGACCAAGGATCCCATATAGGCCGCGTCATAGCTCAAGCGGTTAGTCGCTGGCTTCCCACCGCGGCGGACCGGGTTTGATCCCGGGTCTGGTCAATTGGGATTTGTGGTGGACAAAGTGGCACTGGGAGGGTTTTCTCCGAGTATTTCGGTTTCCCCTGCCAATCTTCATTCCACCAAATTCTCCATCATCATAATCACCCGGGGCAGGCTACAGTAGGCCAATCAGTGGCCGCCGTGCCGAGTGGGCCCAGTTGGACTCCACCCCCCCACTAAGCGAATTAAAAAAAAAAAGGATCCCATGTCAACTTCGGCAACGGAAAAGAAGCGTTTACAATTTGGAACCTCCACTTTAAGGTGTCATCTGATTACGTTTGCATTTTAAGAGTTCAGAAAGACGGCTGAGTTGGTTTTCTCAGTCAGTGACTCTTGTGAACTGTATTCTGAAGACATC